ATATGACTGAAAAATGTTTTAAAGATACGTTAAAAATTATAAACTCCACAGCATAAATGCTAATAATCATAATGTAATCAAATACGTGAAAATACGATTGCTTTCATGCTTAATTTTCTTCTTTATGAATTTACAGGCACAGGTTCTGGAATACAGATAGATTTCTCAATCACACTCCCAAATCCATGTGTCAAAGGACTGGATTATTGTGAACTTTTTTGTCTCAATGGCTACTGGATGGGACCAAGTTCATGTCAATATTGCTCATGTCGAATATAAATGTATCAAAACTGCCATTAAATATATTGAATTACACCTGAACCAAATTCATTTGAAATTCTTGCATAAATCCCAAGATTGTGTAACATAAAGTTTAGCGATGGTACAAAATGTCCCAATAATGTTTCATTCTGGAAGAAGTACCTACCATCATATTGTATTTAATTTTGGTTTTCAAAACATATACAAGATAATATGATATGCCACTCAGATGAACGTGCAAGACATAAAATAATACAATTACATTTTCTCCATTGACTACAAAAAAGGACACGACTCAAAGGCAGAAGAGCTTTAGGACCTAATTGAAGTAGATGGTGTTACATATTCATATAGGGTGTAAATTAGATTCCAAATATTTGTTTTAAAGACTTCTCATATTTTTAGACATTGTAACCAAATCCAAAGGGCAATGTCTAAGAGCCGGAGTTGTACAAGGTATTAGGCAAGACACTGATGTCATATTTGGAGTGTGCATCGAATATGTTTGGCTCGATGGTCCCATCCATGAACGTAAACACGGATAAATGGTGGAAGAGGGAACAAGTAAATACAGGTCATACAGTTTCATCTGTGAAATGAACTGATTCTGGAGTTGTTAAATATCGGAATAATGTACTCGGTTGTATACAATTATTGAACTCAAAGACCCTTCTAATTTTATAACCAAAAGGACAACCCCATGGCCCATTCACCGATATAGCCAAAGAGGCAACCCCATTGCCCACGCACCGATATAACCAACCCAATGACTTATCCAATAATATAACCAAATGGACAAGGCGGCGACCACTCATTGATATACACAAATAGACAACTACATGACCAATCAATAAGAAAACCAAAAGGACTATATCGTACAAGGAAAGAGCCATTTTATATCACACTATATCTTAAGTTTATTGTGAATTAGCTGAAATGATAATTTAAAAAAGAACAACAAACAAAAAAAAAATAAAATGAAGACGTTCACTAAAATATGCTTATGATGATTTTAACAATATACATATTTCAGAATTTTGTTTGGAAAATACATAAAGATCAAATAAGAGATATAAAATATTGACAAAAACAAGCTTAGAGTTGTCTCCTCCTTAACAATATTTTTTTACTTTAATAATGTGGTGAACGGGAGTAGAGAAGGCAGAATTTTGCCAGAAATTTGGAAAAGCTCGAATACATGCAATATTGTAATCAAGCAGCATACTTTCAAAATAATATATGAAAATTTAGATGTAATTGTGGTGGGGTGGAGTTGAGGTGGAGGGTCAAAGACTTCTACCTTTAGGTCATATGGTAGCAACTCAATACTTACTAGATATATTACAAGCTATCTCTTGGATACCATTTTATACATTTGGACCACCTTATTTATATCCGAGTTGATCAAAACCTGTTGCCAGGGGCTTAATAGGTAATAACGAAGATATGTCCATATATAGAAAACGATGTTCTAATTGTTCTGTTTTGATAGTAAGATAGTTTGTACAGTCTACGGGAAAATGCTTTAAGGTTTCTAGATCACCTTAAGAACACTCATTGTTAAATTGCAAGTGTTTTTTTTTTAAAAAAGAATCGTTAAATCGCTAACAGTCATGTCGAAATCTTGTGTGTTTATTTTATATTCCATTCTTTCGCATTACAAATAACAGAATGGAACACTTTCCAGACACTTAACGATTCCAAAAAATACTTTATAGGTTAATTATATCACAGAGCTGTCGATTACTAACATAAATATTCAGACCCGTCTTAAGAAGTTTGGGGGCCCTGGGTACAAACACTAAACTGCTAACACAACCGACGCCGAAATTTTGTTTTTGGTCCGCCGCGGAGCCCACCGTTGTGTCTCGCGCGCCTATGCCTTAAAACGGCGCTGTAAATTATTGACGTCATGATCCAACCAAAGGATCTAATACAGAAAAGTAGTAGTAAAGGGGAAATATATTTCCAACAGGAATGAAACTAAATGTGAAGAGACAAAGCTGTGTTCAGATTGTATTACAAATTACAGTAAAGACATAATAACAGCTAGAAATTTATTGTTCCTATGATCTTACGTAGATTTATAAACAACATATTTTTGATTTGGGACGCAACATCCTGTCATTATATACTTCTGGGTACATGATAAGAAGGTTATGGATAGGACGAGCAAAGATGGATCGACGGAATGACGGATGGACATAATCATAACATAATGCTCCTAGCAATGCGGCGGTATACAAATGATTCCAATCAGCGGAAAGTAGATCTAATTTATTTTTAAAAATCTCACTCTACATATTGTTCACAAGTGGAGGGTGTGACGGCTAGTAATACAAATTCTTGTATCTCGAGGTGGACACTTGTGACTAAGCTAGAAGCGGAACATGTCACAAGTTATGTATATGCAGACTTACTGACATTAAAGTGTAGATAAAATCCAGACGAACACAACGCACTAATGTATGATCTCTCTTTTAGGATTTCTATGATTATTATTGCGAATATGGATATCATGTACATTGTTGTGGTTTTCGCCTCTGGTAAGTTTTCTTCGTACTTTTAATCTGAAACGCTAGCAAATTTCAAATTTTTATAACTATATAGTATCAAGCCTTTTATCTATCGCCGTGTTTGGGTTAGTATTTAGTACATTATAACGATAATAACATGCGATATGTGACTTTATTCCATCGTCGTAGTATGCCTTTAACAGATATATAGACAAAATGTCAGTTACTGTAAATAATGACACGAAGAGAACACATCTACTAGTTTTTGGCTACGTCCCTTTTAGATTGTAACATATGCAAACTATAATTTGTTATTGAACCAGACGCCCATAATCCTCTTTGCGTTCTGCATTAACTAGTAATAAAGTCGCATGAATATACATGTATCTGTTCCAATGTCCATGCATCACAGTTACATGCAAATGAGTTTCCCTTAATGACTCCAATGTGTTGAAACCGGAAGACACTCTGGTTAGACAGGAATTTCTATCAGATGTGATAAAGAAGGATACTTTCAGCAACCGATTATTTCAGTCTAATATTTTATGGAACCTATTTTTGTTTGAATATAGGGTGCTCATTTTGAATAATAATTGAACCTTTTACCTGGAGATTAAAGTTAAGTCTATTATCTGATTAACGCTCGTCTCATTCTTTTAAAATAAACTTGCTTAAGTCAGTAGTAATATATATATATATATATATATATATATATATATATATATATATATATATATATATATATATATATATATATATATATATAAGTTCCCAACCAAATTTGTAAGGGTTGAATGTTCTATTATTTTACTGGGCATTCCTGTTATATTCAAATTTTAGATCAGCAAGTTTTGAAGGAAATATAGTTGATTTTAATTAATATTAATCCAGCTTTGTAATTTTCCCATCCCGTACTACTTAATTTTCGTGATGTGTGAACATTGTTTAACTTTTAAATAGACATACTACATCAGAATTAAAATCAGTAACCATATCCTTGCTCTAAAACTAAGTTTGCAGCTACACTTACTAAATTCAGTACATATATATTTAAAGAGATTAAAAGATTCTACAAGGACGACACGTTTAGACCATGAACTGTTGCGACAAAGAAACTTAGAAATTAAAAACAATGGATCAATGAAGCTGTAGGACGCACAATGTAATATGAAAATTTGACAAATTCAACAAAAATAGCTTGTATGGATGGCAACAACAGTACCCAGAATATTAGTTTGAAATTATAACGGATTTAACAAAATGATTATAGAGAGCTCTCATTCAAACTCTTGTCTTACTGCTCAGGCCGAATACCTATTAATAAAGATTTCAATCCAGTCAACAAACAATAATACGGACCTAAAATTTAAATTAGCATATACACATTTTGTTAATTCCCCCTTATCAGGATTATAATGTAAAAAATGGCAAAACATATTTCATTGATATTGACTATCAAAGACATAAAACTCCACATTAGGCATTGGGGAACATGCATCAATTAGTGGTATGACAGTTGAATACTGGAGAAACATGCCAGCTGATTTTATAAATAAAATTTGAACAAGTTGTAAAGAGGAACTGATTTACTTTTTGTTTACAAGACCGCTACTGGAAAGGAATATTAGGGCAAAATAATAAAATTGACAAGTGATAGAAAATGGTTTTGCCTAAAAGACGGTTGCGGGAAAGGACTATTTAGGCTAATTAATAATATCTGGACAAGTGATACAAAAATAATTGATTTACTTTCATCTTAAAGACCGCTACGGGAAAGTAATATCTAGGCTAAATAATAAAATGTAGAGAAGTGATACAAAAATAATTGATTTACTTTAGTCTACAAGACAGCTACGTTAAAGTAATATCTAGGTTAAATAAATACAATGTTCACAGATGATAAAATGGATGAGTTTACCTTTGTCTGCAATACAACTACTGAAAAGGAATATCAAGGTTAAATAGATACAATGCTGACAGGATGTGATGTGATTATTATTTTAAAAATGAAATTAATAATTTTCCAGTCATATCGCTACGATGTATGTAGTGTGGCAGTTAAAGTCATGTCTAGCACTGGGGCATCATGCCGCAGACATGTAGCATGATGTCCCACCCAGTCACCATTATCCTGACACCAGGTCAACCAGTCCTAACACTAATCTCTTAATGCTGAGCGCCAAGCGAGGTAGCTGTTAGTACCATTTTTGTAAGTCTTTGGTATGACTCGACTGGGGATCGAACCCGTGACCTCTCGCATCTGAGGCGGACGCTCTAATCACTAGGCCACCGGAGCCGTCAAATGACAGGTGATAAAATGGATGAATTTACATTTATCTGCAAGACATCTTAGGAAAAGGAATTATAGTCTAAATCAAAGTATCAAGTGCAATGTTGTATGGCTTTAAGGTGTTCTGGTACAAAATAAATAATAAGTTCTTAGTTACTGAGTCTGATTTAACAGGTCATTAAGCTGCAAAAAAAAAATTTCGCAAAATTTAATTTAAAATTTTATGTAAACAATGGTATGATTGAGATGAAAACATTGCAGACGTTACGATTTAACAATATATTTTCAAAGTTAGACTAAACTATGCCAACATGGAATATATTGTAATTTAGTGATACAGTAATGAAGAAAGTTAACAAAGCATGCAATTAAAAACGCAAGAACTGGTCTTGAACTAGAACTAAATTTTAGATTAGATAAAGTAAATGGCAAAATTCAGTAGCATGTAATTAGTCAATGATAACTCATCAAAAGATAGGCAACGAAATAAAAGAAGAAAGCACTTGAAAAAATTACTGATAAAATGACGAATGTAAGAACAGAGCAATTAAAAATGTAGCGATTATTATACTCGTCACTTTGGATGGTTGTTTAAACTTTTCTCCTAATAATAATAAGTCTCTGGCTTTGTTTTTTATTTGTTTATTCTCTAAAGTTATTTTCTTCCTATTATCAATGTCTATCTGTCTTCCTTTTCTTGCAGTGTATTATAACATGTCGTGCAATTCATGTATTTAAGTTGCAGCTGTTTCTTTGATGACATCTTTTTTCATATGCCTAATTGTTTGTCATATATATATATATATATATATATATATATATATATATATATATATATATATATATATATCAATGTTTAACTCGATATAATTTTGAATTTATTACTACAACGAGCTTAATATAACCTTATGATTATCCTTTTCGAGCCTGCAGCGTAAATATTGTACTCACTGTATGTGAAGGTAATATTTTTGGTGGTATTTTTGAATTAAAATGTATATTTTTCTTGTCTTTTATACTAATTTGCGTCAGGAATTATCTCTCTGATATTCTATTAATATTGGCACTGTTTTGAGGACACAAAGGCACCTCAATGGCTTATGAGTATATGGCTTCATTGCCTTCGTTATAGGCACCAGTATTTATGACATACCCAGGAAGAAAAGAAAAGATTCTTGATTGCATTTGGTAGCATTTTACTTATTTCTTTCTGTATGAAGGTTAATGGCGGTTCTGAAAATTCAGTTGTAAACAATTTTGAACTTGACGACCACGAACGGCTAATATACAAACACTGGAACAGATAAGGCAGAGTAGTGCATACAAAAAGAAATCTTGATTGTTAGATACTGAAAGGTCATTGTTCAATGTAACGTTTGTGCTTTACAATCGGATTTGAGATCTGCCATTACACAGACAAAAGCATCTAAGGTATTGAAAGGTTTAAACTCAGAATATGAAGAGAAGAACATCTGGCAAAAGTAAGATACAGTTATTTCTGATGGTATGGTCAATTATGCAAACTGAAAGTACAGGAATTATAAATGTAGCCGCTAATACGCCCTGGACAAATGTTATATTTGATCACCGAGAATGAGTCTTTATACTGTGCAAAGAAGATATGGAAATTTATCTTGAAAAGCATTTCAGTTCAGGACGGGAGAACGAAACGATGATTGATGTGAATGCATTACGGAACAATTTTTGTTTGCTAGGGTATAAAGTGAAGCAAATATTTAAGCAAGCAACATAGTACTTATTGGATAGGCAACATAAATACACTTAACTAAGTAATGTTAGTGTTAACGTTTTTATACTGATCAATATTGAATGGCTTGATTTGAGATCCATTAAGACTCAATGGTCTTAAACTAAGTAACAGAAAAAAAGCGAAAACCAACAAGTTCACCAAATAATTTATTTCCCTACAATTAAAATTAAAAATTTTAAAAAGAACTTACGGTATTGTGCAATAAAATTCCAAATAATCTTAAACGTTCGATCACCAGTCATAATGAATAAAGTAAAGTTCCAATTAAATTTCAGTTGTGTTTGAAATAATATCCAGTGCTGAAGGTTTTGATGTGCTTGTAGCCTTGAATGTACTAATGTGTGATGATGTGTTAATAGGTTTCCAATTAATGACAATAATATAATCCAAGATATCAGCGTCTGAATTCACTATAATTCAAAATTAATGTTTCAGCCCAAAAATATTATTGAGTACGTTGTATTTTCAGAGAAAAATAACTTGTATAAATAATTATACCCAAATCAAAAACTTAACACAACACTGCAAATGTTTGCTTTTCTGATGTTACATCAAGAATTTATACATTTTGAAGTAAACAGGGGACAAATGGGCGACCGGTCAAACTGACCGATGGTTATTATGATACTCTTTAATTATTATCGACCTGTTCGTCGACAAAATAGTCTCATTTTGTTTTATTTTATGGCGATGAAAATGGCATTAACACTTAAGCTACACTTTTAACGTAATCATTCAATGCTCAGAATATAACTGTACATACAGTATAATATAACTGTCCATACTGTATAATATAAATGTATATACTGTATAATATAACTGTACATACAGTATAATATAACTGTCCATACTGTATAATATAACTGTCCATACTATATAATATAACTGTACATACATTATAATATAACTGTCCATACTGTATAATATAACTGTACATACAGTATAATATAACTGTCCATACTGTATAATATAACTGTACATACATTATAATATAACTGTCCATACTGTATAATATAACTGTCCATACTGTATAATATAACTGTACATACTGTATAATATAACTGTCCATACTGTATAATATAACTGTCCATACTGTATAATATAACTGTACATACTGTATCATATAACTGCACATACTGTATAATATAACTGTACATACCGTAGATGAAGATCCGATTATGCTATATGAGTCTCTTCTTTTATTATGGCCGTAATGTGGAGAAAGAAATCAAAATTTGACGTAAAACAGTTGAAACAGTTTTACCCCTAAACAAGCTATCAAAATAGTAATCAAATTTCACTAATTTATTGATGTTTTGGTTTGTTATTTAGTCATCAATTTAGAAACAATTAAGGGAAAATTATTGTTTGAATGAAAATTGTTTTCCAAGTATGGAATAAACATTCCATGCAAATTGATTAGATTTATAGGGCGCATTTTGGGGTAAATTATTTTCTTACAAGTTGTATTACCTTTAAGAAAGGTGACACTGCAAGTCATGCATTAAATGTTGGCAAAAGTAATTAGACCATTGTTTTAGCAAATTATTTTGTAACACCGTAAGATGAAACATAAAGGTTAAGGGGAGAGAAATATGTAATAGAGAATCAAACATAGAGACAATTTTGAATGTTCTAGTTAGTGCTAAAATGCTTCCAAATCCTTGATCCAAGCACACTTTGAAATCTTTTTCTTATAGAGCTAAGAAACGTCATATAAAATAGAAATGTTTCTCTTTAGACTCATCTAAGAACAATCTTCTGATCCTTATCTCTTTTAAAATAAATATACTAAATGTATATAATCCCTTGGTGATAATCCTTCACCAAAATATTTGTTTATTTTGTCCTTTTACACGTATAATACAGCTTGTAATTGAGTTTATTTAGTTTACTATGAACCAATTTAGGTTGATCTGATTATGACCATAAAATATGATTAATTTTGGAGATAAACATTATATTGTTATCGTTATAAAATTAATTACAAATTGTGTTCTACTTAATTACAAGATTCTTAATCTCCTAAAGTTTACATTTGCAATTAAGAATAGTAAGTTAATTTTAAAAAAAAAAGCAAACACATGCATCATTGTTTCGAGAACGAGAAATTTTAACCTTGGTAATGCTGCCTTGCCATGTAGTTGGATTACATCTATTACATAGAAAACTCGACTGCTCGTATTGGAAATCTTGATTAAGTGAGTTTTAAAGTCTTTTTATGACCTTGATGGCTTGCCATAGTCGCTAGAAGCTGTGTAGATACTGTGTAGTCTCTTTTCTGAATTTTGTAAAATAAGTTTTCACATTATTTCAGCTATTGGTGTCCGTGGTCAAGGATTTTCGTTTTTCTCAGCCGGGATGGGTCAGCAGTCTGTCCTGGGAGGTATGTGTCCGCCAAGCTACTGTCCCGTAAATTGCCCAAATGGACTGAGACATGGCCCTAATGGGTGCTCAATCTGCCAGTGTGCACCTTCTGCAGAAGGTAAGCCTATAACCTCTACCGCCATTATGGTTATATGAATAATAGGGCATGTAACTCTATCAGTTCCCTTATTTGCCATTTTCAGCTATTCAAATCGACTTTTAGAGCAAGGTTTATATATCTGCTGCTTACGATAAACACACACACACACATACACGCACACGCACACGCACATGCTCATGCACACACACGCGCACATGCACATGCATACGCACACGCACATGAACACGCACACACAAACACACACAAACACACACAGCCACAACTACTTTGTTCCTTTCTGAAAAGCACTTTTGTGAACTAATAGTTTATTCTTTCTAGGTTTAATCTGAATATCTCCGTCCTCATTTGCTTCTGGATAATAAATGAATCATTCCTCTTATCCGTGTTGTTGTCAAATATTATGGTGCATTCTTTTATTATGAGAAAGAAATTCAAGAGCCTTACTTAACTTAACCAACTGAATTTATAAAATCAAGCTTCTTTTAAATTTTTCCTTTATTAATTTTGGTGTTTAAAACTCACATACTTCCAATCTTTTCTAGACATCCTGAATCGATTCTCAGTTTTAACTGACAAAATATCCAAATTGTTCTGTGTAACTTCCCTTTAATTTCGTCGCGTTTTGCACTGTGTATTCTACTCCAGCCTAAATTGTTTAGGCTTTAGACAAGTAAATTTTCAGCCGATTGAAAATTTCAAAACGTTTTGATAAAACATTATAAATTTAAAGTTACGTTGCCTTTCTGAA